TGAAATGAATCCTGTTTGATCGTGGTGTATGATTTTTTGGATGAATTGTTGAAGTCGATTGGCCAAAATTTTGTTGAGAAGTTTTGCATCAATGCTCATCAAAGAAATGGGTCTGTATTTCTCTTACTTTGATGAGTCCCTGCCTGGTTTTGGGATGAGGGTTGTGATGGTTTCATAGTATGAGTTCGGTAGTGAACTTTCTCTTTCAATTTCATTGAAGAGTTGGAGGAGTATTTGTGTGAGCTCTGCTCTGAAGGCCTTCTAGTATTCTGCTGTAAAACCATCTGGTCCTGGGGTTTTCTTAGATGGAAGGTCTCTTATTACTGTTTCTATTTCAATGTTTGATATGGGCCTGTTAAGATGGTTTAACTCATCTTGGTTTAGTTTTGGCATGTGAATATTTACTAGGAAAAGGTCCATTTTGCCAAGTTCTCAAACTTATTAGCATAAAGTTTTGAGAAGTATTCCATTATAATGTTCTGATTTTTGGTTGTTTCTGTGGTGCTTTCCATTTTCATCTCTGAGTTTATTTATTTGGTTGTGCTCTCTTCTTTTTCTCATAAGATTTGCTGAGGTTCTGTCAATTTTGTTTATTTCTTCGAAGAACCATCTCTTTGTTTTGTTGATTCTTTTTATGTTTTTATTCTAATTCATTTACTTCTGATTTAATTTTAGTTATTTCTTTCCGTCTACTGGTTTGGGGTTTATCTTGCTGCTCTTTTTCAAGGAGGGTCAGATGTCTCATTAAATTGTTGGCTTCAGATCTCTCCAATTTGTTGATGTAGGAACTCAGAACTATAAACTTACCCTTGAGTACTGCCTTTGCTGTGTGCTCATTTTTGTTGAATATCTTGAACATTTGAGTTTCCTTTCTACTCTCTTCCATGACACATGCAGTGTGTTGTTCAGCCTCCTGGTGTTACAGGACTTTCTTTGGTGGCTTTTGGTGTTGAGTTCTAATTTTATTCCCTTTTGGTCAGAGAGAATGCAAAGTATAACTTCAATGTTTCTGAATTTGGACAAGTTTGCTTTGTGACCTAAAATGTGGTCTATTTTGGAAAATGTTCCAGGTGCTGCTGAGAAAAACGTGTATTCTGATGCTGCTGGGTGAAATATACGGTGGATGTCTGTTAAATCTAGTTGATCTATGCAGTTGTTTAGATCTGTGGTTTCTCTGTTGAGTTTTTGCCGAGTTGATCTATCTAGTGGGGAAAGTGGTGTGGAAAATTCCCAATAATTAATGTCTTTGGATCTATGTGGAATTTGAGGGAAAGTATTATTTCTTGGATAAATTTGTGTGGTCTGGTGTTTGGTGAATAGCTATTTAGAATTGTAATATACTCCTGGAGAGATCCCTTAATTAGTATGTAGCACCCTTCTTTATCTCTTCTCACTAATTTTAATTTGAAGTCTATTTTATCTGATATTAGGATTGCAACTCCCGCTTGTTTATGGGGTCCGTTTGCTTGCTAGATTTTGTTCCAGTCTTTCACATTGAAAATGTGTTTTTTTTTCATTGGCCAGATATGACTCCTGAAGGCAGCAGATAGAAGTTTCTTGCTTTTTAATACAACTTGAGAGTCTATGTCACTTATTTGGAGAGTTTAGTCCATTAATGTTGAGAGATAGGACTGAGAGGTATTTGGGCGTTCATGCCATTTTATCCACCTTCTTGGGTGCTGTGACAACTGGGTTCTTCCTATGGTTATTGGATTCTCAGTTTGGGTGTAGTTTCTTGGCCTTTTTTGGGGTCTTGTTTTTATATGTGTAGGTCATCTTTAGAATCTGGTTTGGTGGAGATATATTGTTTCAATTTTTCTTTGCTATGGAAGGTTTTTATTTGACCTTCGGTTATGAAGGAGAGTTTAGCTGGGTTCGGTATTCTTGATTGATAATTGTTTGTCTTTACCGCATGCCATCTCCCATTCCAGGCTCTTCTTGCTTTGATTGTCTCTGCTGAGAAATCTGAGGTCATTCTAATTGGTTTCCCTTTATAGGTGATTGTTCTTTTTTCCTTGACAGCGTTAAGGATATTTTCGATGGTCTGAATTAATCTTGTGGATTATAATGTGATGGTGGGATGTCCTGTTCTGGTCTGGTCTATTTGGAGTTCTAAAAGCTTCTTATATCTGAATAGGTCTATCTTTTTGCATGTTTGGGAAGTTCTCTGCT